ATAGAGAGATGGAAAATGGCGAGACCAAAACACCGCCAAAATCATGGGCTATGGTTGGTGGAGATGGACCTCGTAGCTATGCCCAAAATTCTTCCTATCAGGTATACACTCATTCTCTCCTTATCTTCTACAGACTGATTTGAATTAACACGCACTGATCTTTAATTACAAAAGCATATTTACTTATTGCCAACTGCAGAGGGGACTGTTGGACGTCGTGAATGAATTGATAAATGAAGGCATCAAAGATAAGCTTGACTTTAAAAGCCCTTGTTCTGATTCTTCAAATATCTGCACTTTTCGAATCGCAGATTTTGGATGTTCTGCTGGGCCGAATACATTCTTGGCAATGGAGAAAATCATGGAAGCTGTGGAGCAGAAATACCAAGCCCAGTTCCAAAACTCCCCGCCCTTAGAGTTCCAAGTTTTCTTCAACGATGTCACGGCCAATGATTTCAACACTCTCTTCAAAACCCTTCCATCATATCAAAAATACTTCGCTGCTGGAGTGCCTGGTACTTTTTATGGTCGTCTATTCCCGAAGTCAACGCTCCATCTTGCATGCTCTTCCTATTCCTTGCACTGGCTCTCTAAGGTTCCAGAGGAAGTTGTGGACACCAAATCTCCAGCATGGAATAAGGGTAGCATACAGTGCAGTGGAACTGCAAAAGAAGTAGCAAAAGCGTATTCAGCTCAGTTCAAAACGGATATGGATAACTTTCTGAATGCTAGATCTCAAGAAATTATTGGTGGAGGATTGATGGTGATCATAATTCTCGGTCTTCCTGACGGAATCCTTATGTCTCAAACTCTAGCTGGAATATGCAATGAGCTTTTCGGGTCTTGCCTCATCGACATGGCAAAATTGGTAAGCACATAAATCTCTCCTGTATTGATTAGAAGAATTTCAACAAAAAAGCGTTGAGTATTTGGTGCAATTGCAAGGAGTTGGTGTTGTGTTAGTAAAGTACGCCAACTCTTGAGGTCAGACAGAGAAGGCAATTCCTTACAAATCTCGTAGTTAATATGTGAAGGATCTGTCTTCAACTTTTCAAGAAAGATAATCTATGTGTTATTTTTCTATTTAACTGCTCCTTTCGATAAAAGAATAGTAAGAAACGGAGAAGCAAAACGGTATGGTATACGCTCTTGTTTTTATTTTTTTCAATTATTAATTTCATTGAACTATACTAATATTTCTTGCAGGGAGTGATTAGTGAAGAAAAGGTGGATTCCTTTAATTTGCCTCTGTACTACTCTTCTGCTAAGGAGTTGGAGGAGATTATAAAGAACAACGGACATTTCTGTATTGAGAGAATGAACATGCTGAATCATCCCATGATGAAAAGGAAATTAGATGTCCAGTTTGTTATTTTGCAATTTAGAGCTATTTATCAGGCACTATTGGAAGAACACTTTGGAAGGGATGATGTTGACAAAATATTCGAATATTTTGCCAAGAAGTTTGCAGACAATTATAAGGGATGATGTTGACAAAATATTCGAATATTTTGCCAAGAAGTTAGCTGAGAATTATGACTCCGTCTTCAATGGGGCGACGCATCAACACGTCGACCATTTTATCCTGCTAAAGCGTAACATCAACTGATGAAAGATATGCGTTTTTGGATTTCAATGTTGACGAATTATCAAGCTTTAAGAAATAATTTGTGTTTCCATTACCTTAAGAAATAATGTCTGTATCCCTTAGTGACCTCCGATCATTACCAGGTCTCTTGCTAGTTTCTCAATTCTATGAATGATCTGCCGGTGGCCGTGCCGGTGCCCTAACTAGCCTTGTTCGGGTAGTTTATTTGTTATGCATTAAATGAGTTTAAAACAGAGCCTCCTAAACCAAAGTGATTGCACACAAGAACTAATTTTTAAAGATGCTTGGATTGTCATAACATGGAGCAATAAATTGCTTAAAATAAGTTTTATACATAATGAAAGAGAAAATTGGAAAAGTTATCTAAATGTATGGAAGTAGAAATGGGAGTGGCTTTTTAGTAATTACGTAATAGATAAATGTTTAGAGGTGACGATAAAATAATGTTCCATCAAGGGAGATACATTATTAAGAATTTTTATTTTGAACTAACCACAAATATAATGTTTATAGTAAATAGGAATTTTTAGCTTCACCAAAGATAACATCACGACAAATAATAGATTTATTGATGTTAAAATTATATAGTTTATAAGTTTTTAAATAATTATTAATATCAAAAAAAAACTTGAATGAGTAATCTTTTGAAGTTATAGAGGAAACAATTGATTCCCTGACATGTTAATTGTAGCAATTAAACTTAATTTTTCATTTTCAATTCTACCTATAATGTTTTTGAAAGAAACTTCATACTTCTTTTCTTGAAGTTGATTAATGCTAAGTAAATTTGATTTTAATTCTAAAATAAAAAAAACATCAGAG